CAGGCCCCTCAGGACCTTCACAGCCTCTGCTGGACTCCCTCCAGTAGCTCCTTGTCTCTCTTGAACTGGGGAGCCCAGAACTGGACACAGTGCTGCAGATATAGGCTCACTAGGGCAGAGCAGAGGGGGCAGAGAACCTCACTGCTGGCCATATTCTTAATGCAGCCCAGGAGACCATTTGCCTTCTTGGCCACAAAAGCACACTGCTGGCTCAAATATTTATAATTACAAAACCCCTTCCAATTTATATCCCATTTAGGGTTTTAATATACCTCAATAATTTCTTTCAGTGTTGGGTATGTGACAGAACCTTGTTGCATCCTAGAGGGCTGGCCAAGCGAGCTCCTCCCTCTACTTTCACAAAACCCAGCCTGGGCCATCCAACCCCCCTGATACTTTGCAACCAACTGACGCATCCTTTCTCTCTGCTGTGCTTTAGATACGTTCCCAAACAAGGGCAGAAAAGCTTATATAATGATAATAACAATAACTTTACACGGTACTTGCATCCTGTGAAGCCGCAGCTATTGTTCTGAAGACAAGGCGATGTATTTCTTATAAGCCACAGCAATTAACTCCACATATCTCCTAGTCCCCAGAAAGACTTGAAACTAACAGCAACAACCAATATTATAAGGCAAAAAAGCACCAGCTGGGCTAAAGTGTGGTTAGTCACCAGCTCTGGGTGTTTCTGTGGGTGCTGGCAGTGAGGCTGCTGTGCAAAATGAGAGGAAGAAAGCTGGTCTGGGTTCGGCATGGGAAGAAATGCAGGAGGGGGAACTTGGCACTTGGTCGTAGGTTTCCTCTTCTCAACAGCTTTCTCTCCTTCCGATGTTCTTATCACATATTTTAAAGAAATACTTGCTCCCACAGCTCAAGGACTGGGCTTGGAGATGAGGTTTATGCACCTTCCCCTCTCATCATGCTGCTGGGGGAAAAGGTTATGGACTTGGTCACCCTGCCTTTTGCACCACACGAGGTGCAGTGTGCTCATGAAATCACCTCTTCTCCACTGGCTTCTCTGGTATTCAATCACACACTAAGCACCAAAAATGATTGCTCAAATGGGAGTTAAAATGTTAACAATTTGCTCACATTCAGGATTAAATTGTAATGTGGGGCTTTTGAGCATTTACTGCCAATTTGGTTTTAAAAAGTGAGGAGAAATGATCAAAAACGTGTGCCTGAAGGTGAAGTCTGCAAAAATTCTGTAAGGTTTAAACAGATTCCCTTGTGTCTGACGAAAACAACTGTTCACACCTATTCCACGAAGGACTGGTGGTTTCTCTTTTCAAGTGAAAGTGGAAAAATTGACACTGCTGCAGCAGATACTACCTTAGATGAAAGGAAAGAAAGAGCACTCAGGATGAACCTGAATTTCTTTCACAGTCTAGATTGTTGTGTTTTCTGTTTTTGTCTTAAAAACCTAAACCCTAAGGGATGTTCAAAAAGATTTTCTAGTGTTTAAACTACTTGCTTCTTGCAAGGTATGTGTGGAGTTTTGCAGTGACAACCTCTGGCCCAACAAGAAACATACTGTTGCCTTTCCTAAAATCACCATTTCCCATTTTGCTCAAGAACTGGCTGAGTTACTAAACCTGCAGCAAAATTTCACTTACAAGAAAAAAAAAAACCACCATTAAGAACCATGGGATTATAATGATTTGGGTATGATAAATATCCCCAAAGTCCACAGATCTTGCCTTCTTGGAATGCAGAATAGCTAAAGTAAAATTGTTTTCAAGGAAATCACCACATTTTGCTTCTTTACAGCCTGACTGACTTTCCTGTTGTTACTTCATCCCTGGCCCGAGATGCTTCAGATTTACCCTGAGGGAAGAGACAAAATACGGAGAGTTTGCCAAATCCCATCATCCAGACTGTAGTTATGTGTCTGTCTCAATCTTCATACATTTTTGCAGCCTGTGTAGTTGTGGAGAAAAGGTGTAGTTTTCATCTCATGATTTTGGGAGTCCTGACTCATCCCTCTCAGTGATGAGGAGAGGTAACATCTCTCCTTCATGTCAGAAATAGCCTGAGCTGCTTTACAGCAGTTTTGCATGTTTTTTTTTTTTTTTTTTTGCATTTTTTACTGACTGCAGGGAGATGTGCTTATGAGTACTGAGATCCTACCAACACCCTCCCCAAACTGCTCTGGGTGAGCTACAGGCAAAGCTGCCCCTTGTGAATAACTTAGAGGTTGTGTCAGCCCTGGACAGGACTCTGTGCTACACACAGGCAGCAGCAATCCCTCTCCAAAGCCAACTGCCAGATTAATTTGTTTTTCTTGTTAAAGGAAGATACATGAAGACTGTCTCCTCATTTCCAAAACATGAGCACACCCAGCAGAGTCAAGGCTTGCCCAATTACAGACAAGAGGAACTCAGTTAAAACATCTGCTCTTGCCGGCTATTTATGAAGTGGGTCAAACCTTCTGGTTTTTGGCAGTTTAACGGGTCTGATGGGACAATAAGAGGGATGTGGTTTATGTAATTCATCTGTTAAATTGAGCTCTGATCCCTGGGAGTACAAGAGGCTCCCAAGAAGCCGTATTTGTGAAGGTCTGCACCATGTGGTGCTTGTTGCACTGCTGAAGAGCCCTCATTCATCACGCACAGCAGCATCTGCTGGCTGCTGGCTGGTTCTGTGTGTTCTGCAGGGTCT